CCCCCACCAGATGCCTCCTCCTCTTGCAGGGGAGCTGTGGGAGCGGGAGGGTGCAGCTCAGCCAGGAAAGGGGGTTCCCGGGGCCGGGGGAGTGGTGGGCTCCCGGCCCAGCCAGTGGGCGCGGGGCAAGGGGGCCGCGGCCAGAAGCTGGTCTTTGGAGGGTCTCACCCAGGCTGGATCCCCAAGAGGCTAGGCACTGGGGGGCTCCTTTCCTGCTCACGGGAGGGTTGGTGCTGCTTGGGGACAGACAGCGAGGTCACCTGTGCCAAGCTCCCCGGTGCACAGTGGGTGCTTCTCAGGGGCTGGTCAAGAAGGCAGGCCCGGCCTTGGTCCAAAAGGGTTTCCCCGAACCCGGCCCGGAGGTGCCCGGGGCCGATGGCGTCTCGGGGAGGTGGAGGGCGCTGCTTTCCTCACCGAAGTGGCGCAGCGGTGAGCAGCTCAACTCGGGGGGAGGGAGGGCCGAGGTGGCCGGCCCCCTGCCCACGGCCCTGATGCCTCCAGGTCCAGAACTTTCTCTCTTGCTGGCCCCCTCAGGCCACGCCTGGCTCCACTGGCGCCACCTACAGGCCATGACGTGGAGGGTCCCCTCGTGCCCCTGCAGACCCAGGGCGGGGCTTCTGGGGGCCGAGGGGCACCTGGCGGGGCTGGGAGGGACGAGGGGTTCTGCCTACCCCCGGCCCGCTCTGGGCAGAGAGAGGAAGGAGGTGGCGGAGCTGCTGACCCGCCATCAACCCCGTGCTGCTGATTCCTAGAAACCAAGGTATCGCCACGACCACAGCTGTCTGGGGCACTCATCCTCCCCAGCTGAGGTCCAGGGACACCCCATGTTGTGAGACAGGAGGAGGAGGCCACCCCAGCGTGGGCGGTGAGTCTCGAAGGATGACAGCAGGGGCCCCAGCGGTCTGAACGGGCCCAGACCGGACCCAGATGGGTGGTCTCACCAGCGGCCCCTGCAGGCCCACGGGGGCACCCAGAGACCCTCCTGGACGGCGCAGCTCCACATCCCCTTGTTTGCAGCCCTGCCCCGTCCTCGGGCTCTCAGTCTTGTTTAAGGACAGATTCATGTTTTGACAAAGCCTCCCTCAGAGGCCCGACGTGGCGCGAGTGAGGCCCAGCCCTCCCGCGCCCTCCACACAGCTCTGCTCTAAGTCACTCATCTGTGCCGCTGAGGCGTCGAAAATCAAATTGCTCTTTCAAAAATTTTGTTGTTGCAGGACATTTCAAATGATGTTTCCTAAGACGATGTTTCAATAAGGATGTTCAGATTGGACCCAATCTCTGATTCCTCCAAGGATGATGGCCAAGCATCCCGCTGTCTCGGGCCAGGGCTGGGTGCGGCGGGGGGCAGGAGCTGGCCTCGCCATCCCCTTCCTGCCTGCCCTCCTTCCGGGCACCCACAGGCTCAGCTTCCCCGCCGTGTGCTGATAAACACACACGCTGGGACGTAGCCCCACTCTGGGGCGGGCAGCTGCGGTCGAGGCCCCCGCCCAGCTGGAAACCACAGTGGGAGGGGAGGGCCGGGGAGTGCAGCGGGGAGGGCAAAGGAGGGGAGAGGAGAGGAGGGGAGAGGAGACCAGAGGAGACCGCCATGGGGCCCTGGAGTCGAGTCAGGGTGGCCAAATGCCAGATGCTGGTCACCAGCTTCTTTCTCTTGGTAACAGGCAGGCTGGGTGGGAGGCGGGGGGGCGGTGTTACTGGACTCCCAGAATTGCGCCCACACACACACACCAGCCCCGCTTCCCCCGTGGACATGCACCCGGTGTCCTGCTGGCAGACTCCCGGGGGCTGAAGGACGCCCCGTGGGCAGGGTCTGTCCTGACGGTCGGCACAGGGCCTGGAGGAGGCCGGAGGGCCTTGGGGGACTGGGGAACTGGGGTCAGAGGGGGTGTCCCCGGGGGAGTGGGGCAGGGTTTCCTGCCCTGGAAGGTGCTCTCATAGGAATGGGGGGGGTGAGGGGGCTGCTAGGGGCTGGGGTGGGCCCATTCCTTGCTCTGCAAGTGGAATGATCCAAGGCTCTTTGGAGAAGCTAGACAGGGTGTGTGTGTGGGGGGGGGGTGTCTGTGTGCGTGCTGGAGACGTCTACGGCTGAGGGTGTGGTGGGGTGTCTGGGGAAAAGGCCTCCCAAGACCACCCCCAGAAACACCCAGGAGCCCCACAGCTGACCTGTCTCACATGAGACCGGGAAGCTGGAGGGAGGCTGGTGGGGGCCAGGCCAGGTCCCGTCCTGCCCCCACACGCGGACCTGTCCCCCCAGCTGCTGGGCCTGGCTGTGGCCGCCATGGCTGCCCTCACCTACTTCGAGGCCCACTTTGCCGTCATCGGCCACGCGTCCTCAGGGAGGACCCCCTACGAGACCATACGCCGCTGGGGTAAGTGAGGTCCTGGGCCACCATAATCGGGGAGGGGGCTTTAGGTGCAAAAGGGGTTGGGGAGGAGCCCTGGGCTGGGGTACGGCCCCCCAAGTGGTGCTGAGCTGGGGCAGGGGTGGCGTCAGAGCAGGGGGCTGCCCTGGGGTCCCAACTGTTCTAGGCCTAGGGTCGGCACGGGTCTCCACCTCCCCCGGGAGCCGGGGGCAGCGAGGGTGCATCGGGGGGAACCTGGACCCCATCCTCTGTGGCCAGGAGGGGTGCTCACCTGGAGAGGGGCCTGCCCAGGATGAGGCCCTGAGCCTGGCTTGGCCTCAGAAAAGAGCAGAGGAGGCCAAGGAGGGGGGGAGCCGAGGATCGTGGGGGGGGTGGGAGGTCCCCACCCCAGGCCTTCTTGTGCCTTGTAGACCTCATGCTTTTCCCTGAGCCCCGAACCCAGGACTCCCTGGAGCAGGAGGCCCAGGGCCCAGGCCTGTACTGATAAGTTTACAGCCCCCGGGGATGTGGCTTCTAAGATAGTCCGAGTGTGGGGAGGGCCGGAAACAGAAGTGGGAGGGACAGGGCCCACCGGGGCCTCCTCCCCTCTCTCCCTCTAGGTCCTTCTGGGCGTTGGGAGGAGGAAGGGGTGGCTGGTGGGAGGCACGCCCCTGCTTGTCAGGGAAGGGCCCGTTCAGAGCTTCCAGACACTCAGCACCACCGAGTCGACCTGGGGCTGGAGTTCAGACCCAGGCTCTGTGCACAGGGGACCCCTGCCCTGGGCACACTGACCTTCCCCTCTCGCACCCAGCCTTCTCTGCAGGGATCAGCCTGGCCGGGCTCCTGACCCTGGCGGCCGTGCTGGGCACTGCAGCCACTGTGAGAGAGGCCCTGGGCCTTATGGCAGGGGTGAGTCCTCCATGTCCCCTACCCTCTGCCGCCGCCAGGATGGGATCTGGAACTGGTGGGCTGTGAGCCCCCCCCAGAGCCTGCCACCTCCCTCAATGTCTTGACAGAATCCGAGGCCTGAGGGATGTGGGCCAGGCAGGACCCCTCCGCCCCGGCCCTATCTCACGCATCATCCGTGGGGGCCTTAAAAGGCAGAGCTGGCCCTCCTAGGCCCGGAAGCCATTCCCAAAGGCCCAGGGAGTGTCTGGTTCTGGGACAGTGGAGGCTCTGGGAAAGGGGTTGGGTGAATTCCATCCCCTTTACGAAGAAGCCCAGGAGACAGAGAGGGACCCTCTGCAGGTCAGGACTGTGCAGGTGCCTGGGCTCCCCGTGAGCTGCTACCAGGGGTGGGTTCTCCCCGTCCCCAGAGGTCCCACAAGCCCCCAGCCTCGCCCCACACCAGTGGCTCTTTGTAGCCCCCATACCCACTCCACCATGTGGCCCCGTCTTGGTCCCCACTGGCATGGCCTGCTCCTCCACCTGCTGTCCCCGCCTCCCCAAGGCCCGCTGCCCTGCCCACTCTGGGCTCAAGCCCCGCTCCTATCACCTGAACTGGGGCCCCGGCTCCTGGCTGGGACTCTGGGCTCTCACATGCCCCCCCAGCCAGCACCTGATGCAGGCCCCCCCACCCCACCCAGAGCCCTTTCAGCTGGGACCAAGTCCGGCTTCCCTATAACTCTGCCGGTCCCTCTGCCTCCAGCCCTCTGCTCCTGCCAACCCCATCCCCTGAGAGTGGTTCATGGGGCTCGTGACTCCTAGGAACTCATGCTGGGGGCTGTGCTTCCCTGTGGAGTGGGTGGCTCTGAGGCTGACAACCCTGGGCTCCTGAGGGCAGGAGTCCCCAGGGTGGCGGGGTTCTTGGTCCAGCCTGTGTCAGCAAATGTTTGTTGAATGACTTCTGGGTTGTAAACTTCTCCAAGGGCAGGGACTAAGTCACCTCCTGGAGTTGCAGTGCCGGGCCCTGGGTGTGCTCAGGGAGCAGAGGGGAGTCAGGCAGCACCAGCCCTAACCCGGAGCCCGCAGGAGTGTGGGCAGGGCAAGGCTATGTGAACGGGCACTTAGACTGGCCTGTGCAGTCTGGCTGCGGCCTGGAGCCCACGGGCCGGGTTGGGAGAGAGGGAGGCCCCAGTGGGAGCTGACCCGGGAGGTGGACTCTCCAGACTCAGGGCTGGAGGGCCAGGCCCAAGGGTCCAGGCGGGGCGGCTTTGAGAGGCCAGCACGCAGCTCCAGGGTCGGCCACCAGGGGGCGCCATAGTGCTGGGCTTAGGGCGCAGGCGGGAAGATGCCTCCGCCAAGGCCCCTGTTCCAAGGTTCCTGGCTCCATCACACCAGCTCCAGCCTGTTCTTGGCCCAGACGGTTCCCAGGGCCTCCCCAGCTACCCACCCCTCGACCGCTCAGCCTTGCACCCTGGTCTGGGGGCAGGGGTCAGTGGGCACCAGGGTCTGGGTTGTACGTCCTGCCGGTTTGTGGGTCAGACCCACGCTGGACGCCAGCTGCACCCCAGCTGCCCGCCCTCGGCCCCAGTCTGGACGCCCCGCGGGGGCTGGGGACCTCACTGCCATGCTGCCCCGGTGAGCGGCGGGCGTGTGTGCATCCTTGCGTGCATGCTTCTGGCGGGTCTGTGAGCACGTGCCAGGGAGCCCAGAGCCTTCCTGTCCTGGCGCTCCCGCCGCCCCCTCCTGCCCTTCTCCCCCATCCCTGGCCTCCTCCCAGACCAGCCTCACACACAGGAAATAAAAGGCGCACAGGCTGGGCGCGGAGCTGGAGCTGGCAGTGGCGCCCAGGAAGCCATTTTGATTTATTTGCATGTTCAGAGTCAGGAGAAAGGACAGCGGGGATCGGCCGGCTGCACCCAGCGCCCCTGCACTGTGGCGATCCCGGGAAGCCGGCCGGCCCTCCATTCCCCGGGACCCTCTGGACGGCGGGCGGGGCGGGAGGCAGGGAGTGATGCCCCCTCTCCTGAGGAATGAGACGATTCCTGGAAAATGCTGGTCCCCTGAGCTGGCTCCCGGCCTCCAGCCTGGGAGGCAGCGCTGAGCAATGGCTTCCAGATGGGGAAGGTGGCCTTTAGCCAGGCGGGAGGAGGACGGCGGCGAGGGAGGGAGGGCGGGCGGAGGGAGGAGGCGGCATCAGGGCTGTCCTGAGACTGAGGCCTCGCGGACCCCTGGGCAGGCAGGAGGGAACACGGGGTGAAGGCCGGAAGGGCTGCCCCTGTGCCCGCACCAGGTTTTAGGGCTGGTGGGGTGGCCCACTGTTCCCTGGAGCCTGGTGGACCCCTCCAGGTGTGGACTGTCTCTCCAATCCAACCCAGCCTGGCCAGGGTTCATGTGTCTGTCTGTGTCTGGGTGTCCCTCTACATCGTTGGTCATCGACTCTCCTGGGGTGTCACTCTAGTGAGGCTCCTGGGTCAGGAGAGCCTGGCCACTGCCCTTTCTGGGCTGTGGACAGCCCTGGGACAGTGACACACCCGCTAAGCCGATCTCACACCGCCCGGGGCTGTGGGCCCTCACAAAGCCAGTGTGGCAGAGCGGCAGGGGGAGCTACACCCGCCTCCAGGCCCCGGGCGGTGTGGTCAGCGGGTAGAGTGACCAACTAGAGCTCCAGAGGAGTCCCAGCCCAAGACCTGAACCTGAGGGTCGCCAGCACACCGTGTTCAGCCTAGGGGTGGGGGCTGTCCCCAGGGCAGCACGCGGGCCAGGGTTCCTAGTCTGTGGTGACCCACAAAAGAGCACTGCGGCATGTTTACATCTTCGGGGGTGCATAATGTCCATTCACAAGAGAGAGACTGGCCACCAGAGCAAGGGAGCCCTCGGGGTGACAGGAGGGGACAGGGGCTGGCTGGGCCACGGGGACAGAGCAGGGAGGGGAGCTTCTCTGCCGCGAGTCACACCATCTAGGGATGTCCACCTGGCCACACTCTCCAGGCTGGAAACCCAGCTCCCAAATCCCCCTGGAGGCACATTTCAGAAAAGAAAACAAAGCCGGCTGCCCCTGCCCCAAAGGCCCGCACTGTCTGAGGGCGGCAGGCAGCCGCGGGCGCTTCTTCCTGCCCAGACCACCTGAATCGGGGATGTTTCTGTCCCCATGTGTGAGTCTCAGGTGCGGGGAAGGCTCTGCCTGGCCCTCCCGGGGTCAGCGCCCCTCCGGGCAGCAGCTGCGGAGGGCAGGGTCTCCATCATCCCGGGGACAGCCTGCCTCCCCGGGACAGAGGGTGTTGACAGGCCCTCAGGAGCCAAAACCAGCAATAGGAAAACGCCTGAAAAGGGGACCCCAGGTCTCTCCCTCGGGCAGTGGGGAGCCAGGCTCATGGGCCCAGCCCAGAGGGAGGCCGCCAGGCCACACCATGAACCACAGCACCGTTCACCTGCCCGCCTCCCTCCTCTGCCCAGGCCTTCCTGTGCTCTGCCCTGGTCTTCTGCGCCCTGGTGCAGGTGGCCTTCTGGAGGTTCCACAGCCCCACCCAGGTGAGCACCCCGCCTGGCCCCTGTCAGTCCTGAGTCCTGTCACCTGCCCATCACCAGGAGAGACAGGGTGGCGAGGGGGTAACCCTGTGGGGACACTGTCTGCCTGGTGGCGGGGCGGGAGCCCAGGGCGCCCGACCTATCCGGGGCTGGGAGCGGCGGCTTCTCGGGGAAGGAGAGGCAGGCATAGGTCTAGGACACCCCTGCTCACTAAGGCCTCCCTGGGCCCGGAAGGAGGCGCCTGGGCAGCTGGGGGAGGGGGACCCCCCAGCTAGCCTGAGGGACTGATGTGGGGGTTGGGTCCAGAAAATGCACTAAAGGGGCTGCCCTCACAATCGGGCGGGGCAGGAGAGGAGAGATGCCCGTATGGGGTGGGAGGGGCGGGGGCTGGAGGGCCGTGGATGGGTGTCTAGGCCTCACCCGCAGGACAACCGCAGTCCTTCAGCCCGGGACCTGCCCTGCCCAGGTGGGGGAGGGGGAGCCCCACTTCCGTCTTCACTGTGGGCTCTTCTCCAGGGACATTCGTGTTGGCGGAGGCCGTGCTCATGGTGGGTGAGGTCTCCCCAGCCAGGGTGGGGGTCCTCTGTTTCTTCCTTCCTTCGTCCCTCCACCCCACCACCCTCCTTCGTCCCTCCATCCCCCCACCCCGTTCTCTGGGTGCTGCTGGTTCAGCAGGGCTCCAGGAGGCTCAGGGCTGGGAGTGAAGGAGGCCCCAGCTCTGGGACATGTGGCCCCGCCCCAGAGAGCAGGGCTGGAAGCCTGCAGGTCATGGGTCTCGGATGGGCGCTGACCCCGGGGAAGCCCTCCCAAGCAGCCTGGGCCTCCAGAAGCCCCGTCTGAACTGGGAGCCCTGAGACAGAGCTGAAAGCCTGCCTGGCTGTGGGGCTGGCCAAGTGCATGAACAGAGCTGACCCCTCCCAGACCAGGACTGGGGATCAGGGCAGAGGAAACTGTGCCCACGAGGCTCAGAGAGAGGGGCAGCAGCCTCTGACTGGCTCCTGTGTGGGGCCTGGGGCCTGGTGGGGGCCAGGAGGGTCCACAGTTGGCTGAGGAGGGGGCGCCGGCGGCCCCACTCAGTGGGTACCAGGGGAGGGCACAGAGCAAGGCTGGCCGACACCAGGCCCCCACCACTGCCCTGTGCCCATAGCTCCCAACAGGATCAGGCTTCTCTCCCCAGCGGAGCCATGAGCCTACAGGCAGCCCCTGGGCTGGTGGAGCGGCCGCAGGGGCACCACCAAGATGCAGGATGTGTTCCCAAAGGGACCTCTTGCCCCACGTCTGCTTCCCAGTGCTGGTCCCAGGCCTCAGGGCCACTGCTGCTCCCTGGCTGAGAGGCTGCAGCTGGCAGACGTGCCAAGGGGCAGGCCTCCCCCTGGTCCCCGGCAGTGGACAAGACTCAGGCAGCAGAACTCGGGCCCCAGCCTACACCTGTGAGAGCCCTGCCCCAGGCGAGACCCCAAAGCAGCCCCCCATCCGGCCAGGCTTTCTGTGACCCTGAGCAGTCCTTTCTCCTCTCATTGTGCCTCAGTTTCCCCGTGCGCTTAGTAAGGTCCAGCCCAGGAAACCAAGGCCAGTCCTGACAGAGTGTTCTCAGTTTCTGGGCAAAACCCTGTGCGAGCAGCGGGGGACAAGCGATGACTTTCGCCTGTGTGTCAGGTGTCCCCGCAGCCCCAGCCCACTTGCTGCCCGGGCCCCACAAGATGTTCATGCCAGATGCAAAGGCTCGCAGACAGCGGCCGGGCCCGGAGGCCGAGTTTGTGCTGTGTTCTTTTAGGTGTGTGATCGCCCTCCCTGGTCCATGTCTTTCCTCATCCACAGGAATGGCCTAATTTCTCCCGACCTTCCAGGGTGGTGGTCACCCCCTTGGTCTGCAGATGGAGGGGTGGGGGGAGTGTGAGGTCACCCTCCAGAGCCGGGGCAGGAGGTGTCCACCATCCAGGGCTCTTTGCCCTTCCCTGCCCAAAGGTCACCCCAAGCCATTCCCCACCACCCTGGCATCACGCGGGGTCACCCCACTGTGACCAGACTCTGCTCTTGGAGGGATCAGAGCCCTGGCATGGCGGCCTCAGCTCTTGGAGGGGCTGGCCAGCGGCCTTGACCAGGGAGACCAGGGCAAGACTGGGGTTTCAGCCTCACATTTACCTCCACCAAGGAGCGATCTGGCCCATACGAGGCCTGGGTCACCACGCGGGTGGTCCCGGCCAAGACAGCTGCCAGGGCACCCCGGGGCCCCATGAGGTTCTCCCGGGGGCGGCTGCAGCCCACCGTCTGTTCTCTGACACCGTGTGTTTAGCGCTCTGAGCCCAGGATTTCCCGTTCTGCAGGGGAGGGGCCTTGTGTGCTGGGGCCACAGGCCACAATCCGGCTGGGATTCCCGCTCCAGGAAGGGGAGGGAGTGAAAAGCCAGACGGCTCCCAGCTGGGCCGCTTCTCTGTCCCACCCCCGCCACCGTCCCCCACAAGAATCCTCCGGTCTGGTCTGCGCTCCAGCTCACCTCAGGGGCCAGCTCTCGGGCCTGACCCCGGTGGGGGCTGGGGCTTCCTCCCAGGCCTTCAGTCCATGAGTGTGTCCAGGCCCATGTGAGCACAGAGGTGGCCCTGTGAGGGTGCTCTGGCTTCAAAGTCTAGGGTCGAAGTCTTGGGGGATCACTTAAGCTTCTTGGGCCTCAGTTTCCTTGTCTGTAAAAGGGGCGTGAGGCCCCGCTGAGCGGGCTGCTGAGTGGCAGGAGTGAGCCTGGGCAGGCCAGGGGCTCAGTGAGACCTGTCTGCACCCTCGAGCCCAAGTCTGTCCTCCATCACCAGGGCCACTGCAGAGCTGGGCACCTGCCAGGGCACCAGGCAGCAAGGGCCGGCCAAGCCTCCCATCCGGTGCCGCCCGACCCGAGAACCTCGGCCGCTGCCTTGGCCTCAGGGCCAACCCTTGCCAAACAGATCCCAGCCTTTGCTCCTTCCTTCCACAAGGTCCAGCTGGAGGCCCAGGGAGCAGAGAAGGACAAGGGGCCCAGCTGTTTGCTCCAGGGGGCCTGGAGCCTGAGCCCAGCCAGGCCTGTCCCCCCTCATTTCCCCCAGCGACCCCCTAAGATATCCTAAAACACAGGGGCAGGATGGCATGTCTAGGGCAACCCTACAGGTGGGGAACGTGAGGACAGAGGACGGGCCAGCCGCGTCTTCCGGTGGCCCAGAAGCCAGGCCACAGACCCTGGTGGGTGAGGGGTGCCTTCCCCGCTGCCCCCGATGCTCACTGCACCCGGAGCTCATTCCCTCGGGCCCTGGTAGGCGCTGTGAAGCTGGCAAGGGCTGGCGTTGCGGGGCCTGGGCGGCCGTGCTATGAATTATTATGAGGGCTATTAATTATGCTCCCGCTGGAGTCTGAGAGCCACTCTGCCGCAGTGTCCCTGTCCCCAGACAGGCCTGCCGGGGCAATGAATTGCCTGGCTCCACTTAAAAATTCATGCACGGATTAAGTACAGCAGAGCAAAGAGGAGCCTTGAAAGGCTGCCTGTCCTCACAGCTCCCGGTCTGGGCCCCGCCCCTTGAGGCCACGCCCCTCCCCACGGTCCAGCAGCCCTCTGGCAAGTGAGCCCACCCTACCCCCTCCCCCGGCTGTGCAGACCACCTGCATGCAGCTCCCGCCGGCCACCCCTGGAGCTGTCCCCACCCAGGGAGGTTGAGCCTACAGTAGGAGGGCGGGTGGCAAATGGAGGGCTGGGAGGGGTCCAGTCTGGTCTTGCAGGGACACCCCAGGCACCTGGCTCCCATTAAGCAGCCCAGAAACCCCCATCCGAAGGGGGCACCCCCTGGAGCTCTGGAAGACGAGGCTTAAAGATCAGGACACCCTGGCAGGGAGCATCCAGCTATCAGGGCCCCATAGACTCTGGGACCACCCAACTCACCCCATTTTCTCCTGGAGAAACACGGGCCCTGGAACCTCCACCCGGACCCACAGGCCTCAGGACAGTCAGCCTGGCCCCCACTGCCAGGCCCGGGGGCCTTGGGCAGGCGCCGTGGCTTTGCCCAGCCTGCTGCTTTACCTGAAGGAGAAGCTGGTGGTCCCTGCTTCTGGGGTTGTGGGGGAGACGCGCAGCTCAGCCACCAGCAGTCTCCCTCCTGCCAGTATTACAGCAATGACACCCCGCCTCAGAAGCGCCGGGTCTCCCCGAGCCCTGGTGGGGGCGCTGGGACCCCAGGGTGGTTGGAGCTGGCCTCCTTGTCACGGCCTCCTCCCCCACTGGCCCCAGGCCGGCCCCACGAGACCCCCAGTCCTCACCGGGACCTCCTCCCACGAGGACACAGCAACCTGGCAGGTCTCCACCCTCATTCCACTGGAGGAAACCGTGGCTGAGAGAGAGGGCCCCTGGCCAGGCCTCCTGCAGGGGTGGCCAGCCTGGCGCCTGGCCCCCAGCCCAGGACGCTGCCCACCTCTCAAAGAGCAGGGGACAAACCGGCTGGCCGAGTCTGGGATGACTCTCGGAACGAGGTCTCAGCTGGGAGGGTTAATCAGCCCTGGGAGAGTTGCTGGGTTCCTAGCTGGGCACCGGGGCTTCGGACGACAATGCCTGCCTGCCTGCCCCAAGTCCTCTGGGCTGGGGGTAGGGAAGCCACCCTTCCTTTCTGGAGGTCGGGAGTGAGTAGGAGAGCCGGCAAAGGTCCTCTGCTCGCCCTCAGGCCTTTGGGGCACTCCTGAGCACCTGTCAGCTTGTCCCAGCAGTCAGCCTGGCGTGGAACTGGGAAAGGAAGGGAGGGAGGGCTCAGGGTCTCTGAGGTGGGAAAGGAGGCATCAGAGGGCAGGGGAGGTCAAAGAGGCCCTGCCAGGAAGACCAGAGACCCCAGAGCAGTCATGGAAGCCTTCCTGAAGGAGGCAAGATTCCAGTTTGTCTCTGAAGAAATAACTTGGCAAGGGAAAGGCATTTCCGTTTGGGGGGACAGCATGAGGAAAGGCACAGAAAGGGATGCCTAGGCGGGCAGAGGCAATGAGGTCTGGGTGATGGGGCGTAGAGTGAAGGCAGAGCCGGCCAGGCCCCTGTTGCTACCCTCCCCTCTCCAAGGGGCCTCGTCTGCCCAGAGCTGGCCCTGAGTGCCCACAGCCAGCTCTGGGCAGACCTGCATTGCCTGGAACCGAGCTGCCTGGGCTTTCGAGAATGCAGTGGATGGTTCTGGGTAGAGGCCTAGAGCATCACTGGGGGCTGAGCTCCTGGCATGAGGCCTCCCCTGGCCTTCCCCCACTAGGCCCATCGTTGGCTTTTCCTGCCCCACTGCCCATCTCCAGATCAGCAGAAGCAGGAGGGCACCGGCCAGGCCCTCCTTGTGCTGTGAGACCAGAGCTGGGGGCGGGCAGTGGAGCCCCTGCCCCTGGTCGATCCTGCAGGACCCCTCGGGAGCAAGAGTGGCATTAACAGCCATTCCTGGGGAGAGATCCCCACAACTGAAACATGGGGAACCGCTGTGAGCAGCTGCCCAGGGGACACAGTCCCTGCTCTCGGGGGGGCCCGGCAGAAGGAGAAGGGGGCCTTCGGGCGGCTTCCGGAGGTGGGGGGATTCAGCAGTGCAGCGGCCTTCCCGTGATGCTCGCGGTACAGGTGGAGGATGCCGTGCTGGACACCTACGACCTGGTGTATGACCAGGCGGTGAAGGGCTCGGATGGCATCTGGCGGCAGGAGCTGGTGGCCATCCAGGACACGGTGAGCATGGTGGGGGCCGCCCCCTCCCTGGGCAGCTCTGGGCAGGTCGGCTACCCCTGGTAGACTGTGACGCAGAAAATGTGCACAGGGGAGACCCCAGAATCAGCCGGCTGGGGGCCAGGTGCTGAGCAGGAGGGCCCAGGACACCGGTCACCAGTGCCCCGGGGTTGGGGGAACAGCGGGCTCCTGTCCCCCTCTGCCTTGGACAGGATCGGCTACGGAATCTGCAGGGCCCAGAGTACAGGGAAAGACCCCTGTCCAAAACTGATGAAGAGTT